ACGTTATGATTTCCATTGATGCTCTATTAATGAGGGGTTAGTTTGATGGGTTGGTATAGTTAAAGGGTCTAAATAGACCTGGCAAAAATACATATTACTTGTCAATCCGATCTTAACCCGACCGATAAAATTAGATTAGAGTCTACATATTTCAATCCGTAACCCGTAAATAATTCGTATTATCAACCCGTACGGGTTGTGGGTCAAGTTAAGGTCAACCCGTGGATTGATGGGTTGACCCGTAGATTGACGGGTTGACTCGTAGATTGACGGGTTGACTTGTTTATTTTATTTTTTATTATTATTTTTAAATATTTTTTTATTGTTAACTCCTTCCATTAATTCATACTCTTTAATTTCCAGAGAAAAACGAATAAATTATGATGAGTTTGATCTAATTATCTAAGTATCAATTTTTTTTTTCTTTGGTATTAACAATTACTTAAATATCATGAATGAAATGATAATACAACTAAAAATATTAAAAGATGTGGTACTAGGACATAAATATAATAACTTAGTAAAAGATGTTCTTGAAAGAGTAATTTTATCATTAAAAAAATAGCTTAAACTACTTGATAATGTTTCAAGATAATTATAAAATTAAAACTCTATTTTTAAAGAAATTTAAATATTTTACGTTTAATATTATTATTGTTAATCAATTTATTATTATTTATAATTTTATGATATTTTTTTTAATTTAATTGTTTGTGGTTGAGACTATAAAAAGTATTTAGTGTTAATAAATCACAATATTTTAATTAGATTTGGATATATATAATTTTATTTGTATATAATAAAATTAATAAAAAATAATTATAAAAAATGAAAATAAAGTCAACCCGTGAATTAACTCGTAACCCGTTAGGGTCGAGTTAGGGTTAAATTTTTTCAACCCGCAACTCATTCATAATCCAACCCGTATAACCCGTCACCCGAATTGACCCAACCCACCCATTTGCCAGGTCTAGGTCTAAATAATGCTTTTTTGGTTCAAAAGTTTTAGATGATCACCTTTTTATTAAAAAAGTAAATTAAAAAA